CGCCGGGGGTGGGGGGCGCGGTGTGCGCGATGCACACGCACAGCAGCAGGGTGGAGGAGGACGCGGCGATCACGCTCACAGAGGTGGGCGCAAAGATGATGATGTGCCATAAATCCGCAAGAAACTTCCACTGTTCGCAATGTCTGCAAAGCTTGCAGTGTCTGGTTGTGCGACTGCCGCCCCAACCCCGCTGGACCCCGAAACCCTGAAATCTGGGACCCAAGCAAGCGCACGCGAACCGGGGATTATGACGCTCACAACCCTGCCGCCAACCCACCCGCCCACCCCTTTTGCCAGGCTGACGAGCTGGATGGCGCCCTGGACCTCTTCATGGAGGGCGCAAACTTCGCCTTCCGCATCAGAAACGGCCGCCCCCGCTTCAACCCCACGCAGCAGGCGCAGTTCCGGCAGCTGAAGCGGCGCTTCGGGGCCGAATTCACGCACACGGGCCTGGTCGGGCTGCTGCAGGAGCGGCGCGCCGCCAAGCTGGCCGCCGAGGCGGCCGCGGCCGCCGCCGCGCAGGCGCAGCAGGCGGCGGCGGCGCAGCAGGCTGCGGCCCAGGCGGCGGCGCGGGCGCGGCAGCAGGCGGCGACGCAATCGCAGGCGCAGGCGGCCGCGGCGGCGCGGGCGCGGCAGCCGGCGGCGCCGCAGTCGCATGGGGCGGTCACGCAGGCCGCGGCGCTGCTGGCAGCGCAGCAGGCGCAGGAGCGGATGCAGCAGCAGCGGCCGCAGCCGCCGCAGTTCTCGGCGGCGCAGCTGGAGCAGTGGATGCGCATGCCGCCCCAAAACATGAAGGGCGCGCTGGTCGCCCGCCCTCTAGATCACCTGCAAGCGCTCGCAAGGCAGTTTGACCTGCTCATTGCCCAGCCGCAGTCGCAGGTGCGGGCGATGCAGCTGCAGATGCTCAAGGCTGAGGTGGCGTTGGCCATACGCCTGCGGTGGAACGCGACGGTGCTGGCGCAGCAGCGACAGCAGCAGCAGCAGCAGCAGCAGCAGCAGCAGCAGCAGCAGCAGCAGCAGCAGCAGCAGCGACATCAGCAGCAGCAGCAGCAGCAGCAGCAGCAGCAGCAGCAGCAGCCGGCGGGCCAGGGCGCGCAGCTGCCGCACGGTGCCCAGCCGCCTGTACGAGATCTTGCGTCACAACTAGAGTTGCTGCGACAAGCGCAGCGGCAACAGCAACAGCTGCTGCAGCAGCAGCAGCAGCAGCAGCAGCAGCAGCAGCCGCCCCACAGGGAAATCAGGAGGCTGCCGCCAGGGATGCAGCTGGCCGGTCCGCGCCCACCCGCCGCGCAGCCCCCCTCGCACCCGCAGCCCGGCGCCCCGTCCCCGCAACCGCCGCCCGCCCGCACCCCCGCCCCGGCGGCGCCGGCGGCCGCTCAGGGCGGGGCGGCGGCCTCGCAGGGCGGCGCGGCGGCCGCGGACGTCGCCATCACGAGGAGCCTGCTGAACGAATTGGAGTCGCGGCTGGGCGCCTCGGAGCCCGTTCGATTCCAGGCGGCGGCGCTTTTTTTGGCCCTGAGGAACCTGGGCGCGTCTGCCGGCCGGCCGGGCGTGACAGAGCAGCAGGAAGCGCTCCTGACTCAGCACATGCTGCCCCTTTCAGAGCCGGACAAGCTGGTGCTGCGTCGCGCTTTGCCGCTGATAGGGGCGCGCCTCCCGGGCGCCGCGGTTGCGCCCGCGGGGGCGGCGGCGCTGCCGGCGCCGCGGCTGCCGCAGCAGCCGTCCCCACCGCAGGCGCGTCCCCAGCCCGCCGCTTCGGCGCCCGCTCCGGCGCTCGCGAAGCGGGCCGCAGGGCCCGGGCCGGACGGCGGGGGCGGCGGCGGCAGCGCCACCAAGCGCGCGCGGGCCGACAGCGCGCCTGCGCCTGCGCTTGCTCCCGCTTTGGCGTCCCCCGCCGCGCCGCGTGCGGCGTCGCAGGGGGCGCCGCCTGCGGCACGCCGGCAGGGGCCCTCGCCAGCGACAGGGCCGGGCGCCAGCGGCAGCAGCGGCAGCGGCGGCGGCGCCGCCGCCGCCGCCGCGGGCCAGCGCATGGAGGTTCTTGATCTGACTTTGGACGACGACTGATTGCCAAGATTCCGTTTGACCGCACCTTTGACCGCGCGCATCAGGCCAGTCTACGGCAGCCTGGGTCCATAACGGCGTTGCAGCCGTGCGCCGCTCAGGGCCGCCGCGGAAGGCTGCCCTCGCCGCCGCGACTGCGCGGCTGCTCGTGCAATGCAGCAAATTTCATTGTGACCAGGCCCCTCACGAGGCAACGGATGGTGGGGTCACCCGTGCCCCCCATCTGTATACACTCGGCTTGTACTTGTCCACCCCGACCCCATCTGGCGCCAATGCATGCGGCATCGCGGGTCAGTGATGAACCTGCCTAGCTAAACCTTGTTATAATGATTGTGATATGCTGCCTCTCTTTGTAATGGCGCGGGTGATGGGCGCCGCGCCGCGTGCGTTGCTTGGAGGTTCGCAATCATGAGGAATGCTTGACTTTGCCGCCATCGCCTGGCGTGTAGATCAAAGTGCGCTGTGCAGCAAGAGCGCCGCGGCTGGACACATTGGACGGATTCACAAGGCTGCTGCGTTGGCAGGCGCAGCTGACAGGCATCGCAACTGGGCAACAAAGAACACAGGTGTCAGGTGGTCGTATGGTATGTAGTGAGATGCTCTACGCGGGCGCAGTGGGCACGTGGCGCGGCTGGCGCCTGTACCTGCAATCCGTAGGATTGTTGATGTGTTCGGATGCAGCAGAGCGCCCCATGTGCTGATGTCACTTGTTGGCCGCTAAGCCGCAACGGTGCGCACGCAAGCACTTGAATCGACACTGCGAAACTTTTGGTGCGGCCCCACCTGCGACCCGCAGACATCAATGGGGCATCATCATTTCAATCCGCATATTTCCTTGCGAACGCATCCTCCACTCAGGTGACATCATTGTGTCCAACAAGGAGTGACAGGTGCACACAGCAGCCACAAGGCGCGCATACAAGTGGTGACATCCACAGAGGACGGCGACGAAGCCGGCCCCTTAGACCTGGGTGCCCCCAGCATCACAGGCAGCACTGGCTGTACCCGCGGCCGTTGATCTCCTTGTCGGCGCAGCACCTGCGTGCCTCCCTCGTGTCGTCGTCCACCTGCAGCTTGCCGGCCTTGATGGCCGCCTTCTCTGCCTCTGGGATGCCGTCGCGCAGCACCTTGCACACCTGGGTGGTAGAAACAGCAGCAAAACGAAGGCTGTCCTCAGCTCAGTGGGAAGGTAAACGCAGGTGGCAAGTGTATCCCAGCACGCCCTGCATCCGCCCGTGGCACTCGCTCCTGCTGTACGTGTCGCTGGCCGTCAGGTGCGCTGGCGAGGAGGAGGGCTCCATAATCGTGCGCGCGCGCCACTGCCGATTTGCACCAGCCCAGACAACCCTAACCCTGCATACTGCGCTCAAAACTTGACCCACACACTTCATGGTGCCCCTTGACGGTCAACCGGGGAAGCCAGCAGGGCGGCTGGTCAGCTCAGCGGCGGGGTGATGGAGGCCTCAAAATGAGCTGCCCTGCGGACCGCTCCCAGTGCTTTGCAACTAATTGTCAGGCCATGCACCCCCTCATGCCCTATAGTGTGGGATCTCGTCGGCTTGGCCGAACCCACCTTTGGGCAACGGACCCCCTTGCCGCAATCTGGGTAACCCGAATTCATCTCAAAGGGTGTCTTGCCGGATGAGTCCTTAGCCCCAAGGTCGGCGCCCCACGCCAGGAGCACCCTGGCGATCGCGGCGGAGCGATCATCCGTCGAAAGCCTGCGCAATAGGCGCAGCGCGCGCGGCCGCAGGCGGTCGTGTTAGGTGGCGCCACGCCGCACGACGACGCACGCAACCCATTGCGTTTGTGTTGACAGCAAGCGAGCATGCATGGCGGGTGGGATGGGGTTGACCATACAGCGACGTCCAAGGTTGACGATCATCATCATCAACATCATAGCACCAGCAGCAGCAGCGGCGGCGGCGGCTGCGGCGGCAGCAGCAACAGCGGCAGCTGGGTAAATCACCTGAAGTCGCATTTTGCCGCCTCGTGCAGGGCTATTATGCCGCTCTCTTCGTTCCTGGCGTTAGGGTCGGCGCCCGCCTTGAGCAGCATCGTCACCAAGTCGAGGCAGCCATCCCAGGCACTGCAGATGGTTTGAGGAAGCGCGGCGACCTGCAAATGTTTACAGTGCGGGCAAGCAGGGAGCTACAGGCAAAACCGCCTATTGTCGCATGGGTTTGCAACACTGTTATATAGATTGTCAACCGAGGCGACAAGACAGTGGTGGATTCTGCCGGGTGTGACCTCATCCAAGACACAGTGCTGGTGCGCGCCCCCGGCTATGCTGCGGTGTTGTGAACATAAAGTGCCATCGCACTGCCTGCCAGCGCCGGCAGAGCATGGGCTGATCAGCGTGCAGCTTCATACACAGGTGCGTGCGTGCACTGCATGACCACTGGCAGGCGCCCGGTGTGGCCAGGCAGACTCTGGAAGGTGCAGCCTCTATCACAGTGACGCAGCTGCATGGCGCGTGTGCCCACCGCTTCGTTGCAAGGCAAGGCATGTGCCCACCGCTGTGCATGTACCCACGGCTTCGCATGCCGGTATCCGGGTTGCGCCCCATGCAACTTACGGATGGAGTAGCAGAGGGCCACTGGCATCTGCTGAGTTGGGCAGCTTGAAGGGGATGTTGGGGTCCGCCTTGGCGTCCAGCAGCAGCTTTATGGCTTGATAGACCTCCTCGGTGTATGGGTGCCTGGGTTGAGGGGTGCATGTGGGTGTGGGGTGTGGGTGTGCTGTGTGCGGGGGCGTCCGGGTGTGGGTGTGGGTGCGTTCGTGTGTGCGCGTCCACACGTGTGCGATTGTTGTGTGTGTGGGCAAGCCAGGGAGTGTGTACTGTTGGCAAGTGACACGCCTGCATGTTTGAAGGAGCATTGATTTGCCAACACCCTCAAAGGGGCTCAGTCCTGTTGCAGTACCGACCACAGTGCTGAGCTAAGAGAGGCGGGTGAGGAGCGGGCCTGCTGCCCACACTGAGCACATACAGGCAAGCGGGGCGGCAGGATTGCGGATGACGCAGCGCCATTTCCCCTGTCATCACCGTTGCGACCCATGCAGGGGAAGCACGCCGTGCCTGCAACAACGACAGGGTTCGCACCAATAGGGTGAGCTGGTGGTGAGGAAGGCGGCCTGGAGGGGGGTGAGGCCGTGCGTATCCCGCTGGTTGACGTCCGCCCCCTTTGCGATTGCGGCCTTCATCCTCTGATGAGGGGTGGGGGTTGTTGAGTGCACGTAGGTGACTTGCACGGCGACTGTAAGCAAAGGGGTGATGAGACGTGCGGTGGCTCGTGCACCAGGTTGCCTTGGGGGAGGGGGTGCAGCTCCCGGCAGCTGCAGGAAGCTGTGTGGCAGTGTGCAGCGTTTGACATTTGGGGTGGGGCAGTGGCCAGCTGTGTACCCTCGAGGTCGTTAGAACGTGTTTGGAGCATTGAAATGGTCACCAATCGCGGGTGACTAGTACAACCTGGAAGCTTTCTCTTGTGATCATCGTCGGCACTCAAATGGGACCGCCGTCGGCCCGAGCAGTTGAGCAGACCGGCAGCAACATCGGAGGTGCGCACCTGAAGATCCAGCTCAGCGGACGCGTTGTGCAAGGGAAACACATTGGCGTCGATGTACTTGGTGACGTCATCACGCGTCCAGGTCGTCCAGAGGTTGCTGCCTGGGGCCTCGCCTGGCGCTGGGCACTGGCAGGCGTCGCCCATTGCGCGAGTGACCATCGCGAGAAGCAGCAGCCGTTGCAGCAGAAGCAGCAGCGTTGAATCAGGACGCTTGTACATCGCCGTGCTGGGAGCTTAGCTGCAAGCCAGCGACCAGCTCTTTCGATGTCTGTCGATAATGGCGACAGCCCTCCGAAACAGTGCATGCTACAGTACGCGAAGATTCTGCATGCAAATCTAGTCCAATGATGTCAGGCGGCAGTCATATCTGGAATATTGCAATTGAAGCAGCTGAAAGTGAGCGCCGAGTCAGGGCCACGGCAGTTGCCGTCGTACAAGAGACCGGCACACTGCTTGAGACATTCATGCGCCTATGTTGGAAAAGTCACACTGACAATTAGCTTTTATTCATGTATACAGATGCCATGTAGCCCCTTTTTGAGCCATGGTTTCGAGCAATCCGCTCGCTGTTTGTCGCCCAGCCTAGCAAATCGTCCAAAACACGGGCTGCGGGACCCCGGGTGCGCTCGGAACCCAGCCCCTGCCGTTACAGGCAGCCCCGCGCCCGCTTGGGGCAGGGGGTGGACGGGCGTCCGCGGCAGTGCTGCACCCCAGCAAGTGCAGCGATACTGCTCAGTGCCTCTGGAGCCGAGCGGGGGGGAAAGGGATGGCTGCGAGGCTGTTCTGACCTAACTGCTGGCCGATCCCCGTGAGGCTCCCCATAGAGGCCGCGGCCAGGCCAGCGGTCTTCACCCTGCAACGCCAATGCCACCCCCACCCGGTAAGTCTGATGTCGCAAGGTGAGCGCGGGGCGCACCATGCAGCCGCCTCCCCGTGGCGCGCCCTGTGAGTAGGCGGGAAGGATTGCTGGCCGCCCGGCCTGCAGCCCCTGCCTGGCCGAAACCAAGAGCTGCACAATGCCTGGCATGCCGGGTAGCTGCTGCCAGTGCGAGTGACTTTGTCGGCCTAGCGGGTAGCTGCGTGCTGCAGAGGTAGCGGCTGCTTGCGTTGTTGCGATTGCTGCTGCTGCTGCTGCTGCTGCTGCTGGTAGGCATGCGCGGCTCACAAGCTATGCTCGCTCCATTGGTGTTCGCCCAGTGTTGTTTGCAAACGTAAAGACCACACGCAGCCAAGTGGGCATGGCCATTTGAGCAACACAGGCAGCCTTGCCAACGAGCAGCAAAGGTCGCCGCTGGCTGGCGCGCCCCAAGGCCAAAGGCTGGTGAAGTGCAGTGCCGGCAGGGCGTGTAGCACCAGCATGCGCACGTGCCCCAATCGAGGTGGCGTTGCGCGCCGTGAGCCAGGCCTGCCGCGGTCCAGCAAGGAGGTGTTTGGTGAGGCGATGAGGAACGCAGATGCGCCATCACACAGCGCGAATGAGTCATGATGGCAAAGCGGGGCGCAAAAGGGGAAGGCATACAAGCAGCGCAAGTGATTGGAAGGGATGTCGCGTTTGACCCAGGGTTGACACGAAGAACAGACAGGGGGTCGCGCGACTCAAGGGCAGTCCGCGCAGTCAAGGGCCCGCCCTCGCAGCCGCGCGCCGAGGCCGTCCCCAACTCGCGATCGGCCCTCAGCTACATGTTGGCGGTGCTGTCGGATTCAAGGATCTGGAGCAGGGCCCGACCCAGTGCCGCGGGCATGGGAACCCTGGCGAGGCCACCGCCCAGCTGCAGCACCCACGCTGAGGCCAGCCACCCAGGCGCGGGCTCAGGTGCCGCTGCCCATGCTGCTGGTGCGGCCATCTCCTCCTTGCCGCTCGCAGATGGCATGTGGCAGAACGCCACCATGGAGGCCAAGCAGTGCAGAATGACGAACGCCAACCGCACCAGCACCAGGCGCCGCGTCTCGTCCCGCGCCGCGCCCTGCGGTTGCTCGCCCGCCAACGACCGCGCGAGCGACCCGGCGGCCACGGAGAGGGCCGGGAAAACCCCGCCCTCCTCAAAGCGGACGGCCATGCGGGGCGCCCGCCCGCCGGGCACCAATGAAGAGGTGACGACGTGCTGCATAGGGGCGGCAAAGGCAGGCACACGCGGCCCCCCGGCGAGCAGCGCCTGCCCGTCTTCCAGCGATTCCATCCGCTGCAGAGACGATGCGCTGTCGCGGGGAGCAAACACCACGGCTGCCACCTCCATGACATTCTCCCCCAGGCCGCGCCCGAGCCTGCGGACGAACACGCCCCTCTCGCCATGGCCGCCGGCGCTCATCACTGGCCGCACCAGCGCGGCCCCGGCGCCAAGGCCCAGGAAGCCGCAGGCCGCGGCGCTGCCGGGCTCGCTCAGGAAGGACAGCCAGTCAAGGGCGGCGCTCGGCGGCGGGAGACAGTCGGTCAGCAGGGGCCCGCACTCCGCCTCGGCCAAGCCCGGGAGGCGCCTGATTGGGAACAGGTTGGCGAGCATGCCAACAGCCGCCGGCTGGCCACCAAGCCTGCTGCCGTGGCCGGCGCCGGCTGCGGCAGAAGCGCCTTCACCTGTGCTGGGCAGAGAGCCGTCCGGGGCATGGTCCGGCCGCACCGGCCGCCGCACTAGGGAACCCGAGACGTTGCCGACGCCGTCGCCATTTGAAAGCATGGGTTGAATGTTCCTGCCCAACAGTTCAATGAGCCGCTGCGCCCCCGAGAGGCGGTGTTGCCAGCCGACGCCGACGCCGACGCCGACGCCGACGCCGACGCCGACGCCGACGCTGACGGCAGGGGTGGGGCCAACCGCAAAGCCGCTTGCGTCCCCATCGCCGCTCGCGTGGCAGCCGGGTGAGCTAGCCAGCAATGCAATCGAGGCGGCCACGCCGTGCAGCTCTTGCGCCTGTGGGCTGGCCCTAGGGATTGTCTTTTTCAGGGTCAGGCAAGGTCTCAGGCGCCTGGCAGGACGATAGTGTGCGTCGCCCACCCGGTCGGCTTCCGGCGCGTGGGGCGCCATTAGCTCTAGAGCGTCCCCGGTCTGGTGCTCGTGGCAGCTGCGACCGCCAAGGCTGTTTGCTGCGACGCGCGCGGCACGCCACGCGCGCCATGAGGCGAGGGGCCCGCCGTTATCATATGGCTGTGCAGGCGCGATGGGCCTAGGGTGGAGACAAGAAGGATGTGCGGGTTGGCAGGTTGTATCAAGGATCAAAACATGGTGATAAGGTTGCTCCCCCTGTTGTATGTACCTCCCCCCCCCCCGCCCCCGCCCGCAGTCAAGCAAGCATGACCAAGCCAGTCTGCACTCGTACCTTGGATCTTCGATTATGGTCTCAAGCGCCGTCCGCTTGCTGCGCAGCCGGGCCTTGGCGTGCTCCACGATGCGAGCAGAGGTTATGAAGGACTGGCGCACAGCCCGCTCGCTGGGCCTGACAGCGCTGGGCCGGATGGCGCTGGGCCTGGTGGCCCTCTCAAGCTCGCCAATGCTGCCACCGGGCGTCATGGGCAGCTCGCCCCGAGCAACGTCGACGCCATACGGCCCCAGCGCGGTGAGGCTGGCCAGGCGAGGGATGTCCGCAAAGACGAAGGGCGGGCGCAGGCCGCTGTCGGCGTCATCATCATTGCCGGCGGGCTCGGGCGATGAAAGAAGCATGGAGAAGCCGCCACCTCGGTAGCTGCGGCGGCTGCCGCTGCCAAAGCTGCTTGACGGGGCGCTTGGCAAGCTGCGCAGCGCGGGGTCATCGCCGTAGTCAATCCGTCCGGGCAGGAGGCTGCTGCGGTCAGTCATGTTGGGGTGCGTCGGGGTCGGCCTGCGCACATGTCGAGGGGGGGACCACACTTGAGTGATTGTGGCGGTTGCAGTGGTTGTCGTGGATGCCTGGCACTTGCCCAAACACATCAGACGGGATGATGCATGTGACGCCCGGGCCAGGAGGTGGCCCACAGCATAAGATCAGGCTGCCACAAAGAACCCTTCTCTTGTCTGCGGGCCTCACCTCGGGTCGCCATCGGCTTCAAACCCGAGCTGGCCTTGTCGCCGCTTGTGCTGCCCACTCAGGCCCTCTCTGTACCCTTGAAGGCTGCTCATATCAGTAGGTGGTATCCTGTCCACCGTGCGTTCGCCGATAGCAAGTGGCAAAACATGCACACGCTTAGTTGGGGTGAACAACTGCCTGCAAATTGACACTGGCACTACGCCACAGAGCCATTCACTGGATTGCGGCAACCAGCGCCAAGAACCCTCCGTTCATGAAGGCACACCAGTGCAGCTTGCGCAAGCCACTTACCGTCTGGGGCTGTTTTAGTCGTTCACGCGGGCGCAGCACGAGCCGGCTGTTCGTTGCGGGAGTCGCAGGTGCGCGTGCCGGCGCGCTGCGCCCAGTCTGCGCTGTGGTTGACCACTGCTTCAAAGGGCGCGAGGACCTCCGCGTCCCTGTAGATCACTCCTCAGACGCTGAAAATCTACATGTATCTCTTTGTAGCTGCAGGGCCGCGCGGATCGGGATGGCAGCAAAGTCCGCGCAGCATGGGCCCACAAACGTGCTCGTGGGATTCTCAATATGATGATTCGTCTATCAGATCATATACTGGACATGATAATCGCCTGAAGAGGATGTATTCGGCGAAGTTCTAATGTGCAGCAGCTGCGCACACCTCTGCCGATATCGCTGCCCGAAATTTCACGCTGATAAACGAGAGGGATTTGATTTAATGAAACATTTAAATTCCATCAACACTGGATTCCTCTCATCCCCTTTTCTGGACGACGTTTTTGTGACATGGCGTCCGCACGTCGTCCGCCCAGCCTAGCAAATCGTCCAGAACACGGGCTGCGGGACCCCGGGTGCGCTCGGAACCCAGCCCCTGCCTCTACAGGCAGCCCCGCGCCCGCTGGGGGGCAGGGGGTGGACGGGCGTCCGCAGCAGTGCGCACCCGTGCTGGTGCTGCGATACTGCTCAGTGCCCCTGGAGCCGAGCGGGGGGGAAAAGGGATGGCCGCAAGGCGGTTCCGACCTAACGCTTGGCCGATCCCCGTGAGGCTCCCCGTAAGGGGCCGCGGCTCATTTTCTCCACCATCCCACTTCGAAACGTGTGGCGCTGCGAGGTGAGTGCGGGGCGCACCGTGCAGCCGCCTCCCCGTGGCGCGCCCTGTGAGTAGGCGGGAGGGGGCGCTAGCAAGCCCGCTTGCTTGCAGCCCCTTCCTTGCCGAAACCAAGAGCTGCACAATGCTGGGTATGCTGAGGGGGGGGGGGGGAAAGGAAGCTGCTGCCAGTGTGGGTGACGGTGCTGCTGCTTGTGCTGCTGCAGTTGCTGCTGCTGCTGCTGCCGCTGCTGCTAATGTGCATGCGCAACTCACAAGCTATGCTTGCTCCATCAGTGAGTCGCCTGGTGTTGATTGCAAGCGTACAATCCGCGCGCAGCAAAGTAAGCAGAGCCGAATGAGGCAAGAAAAAAAAGCGAGTCGGTGGGAAATTTTGATGGGTGTTGTGCCCAGCGGAGTGGGCCTAGGCCAGACCGGTATAGAGCAGCGCGTTTTGGGTGCGGGTGGGGTCCGTGCTGTGGTGCGTGCGCAGCGACGCAAAGGTGCTGCCCTTGCAGCCGACCAGCATCGGTGCGAGGCAGCCACGCCCAAATCCCCGGCTGCCTCACATCGCCTGCGGCGTGCGCCAAGCACGCGAGCGCGTCCCGGCACAGCACAGGAGCATGCAGCCAGCCCCCGCAATAAGGCAATGCAGCCCCGGCAGTGAAGACCTGAAAACTTGCGATGGCACACACCACCTCCATCCTGCCGGCAGCGCCTGTGCACCCCAGAACTCCCCACCAGGGGCACGCCCGTCTTGTCTTGGAATTTGCCCGCCCCCTAAAAGGACGAAGAAACCCATTGCAAAGGCGTGATTGCAGGGCCATGAACGGCGACCACGTTGTTCCCAAAAGCGCTGCGCCAGGGGAAGAGAGCAGCAAGCAGCATCCCCCCCATCGGCCCCCCGCGCGCCCCGCCGCCGGCTCTGACTGTCGGCCCCCCGCGCCGTCCGAAAGCCAGCGGCCGGCCATCAGTCAGCCGGCGCGTGACGCGCGGGCGGTCGGCTTGTGAGGGTGCCCTGCACCAAATTGCCAGGATTCAAACCACCCATGCATGTCGAGTGGCCGTAACGACGCCAGCCCCGCCCTCCTGGGAGGCGTCCAAGTCAAACCTTCCCGGAAAAGAAGGGCAGCGGCAGCCGAGGCGCGCCAGCCACCACTTCGCCGGGAGTCTTGACGACATGCCGACCCTCCAGCTCGGGAGAGACGCCGGATGACGTCACTCCCTGCTGGGCTTGGCGTTCTGGGCCGCCTCGAGCTCCTTGTACATGCGGTCGATCTCGCCCTAATAAAAAGTCAAGAGCCAGGGTTTAGGGGGTTGGGGCTGAATCAGTCTGTGGAAATTTCAGTCTGTTTGAATTAGTCGGGTGGGGTTAAGAGTGTGGGTGGCGTGGTCGAGAGCCCATCAGAGCAGGCCTAACGGCTTGGTTTGGGATTCCAGGAACGTGGGTGCCCAGGTCAGAGTGGAGGTCGCGGCTGTGGTTGACACTGAAAGAGACCGCGCCCGGTGCGAGGGTCAAAGGCCAAGGTTTGACCAAGTCAACTCACGATGTACGCCTTCTTGAGCTGCGGCCTGCGCTTGCGAGCGAAGGCGAGGTGCGTGTGAGCATGGGAGGGGGCCGGGAGGGTGTGTGTGGAGATCGATGTGCAAAGAGTGTGAAAGTCGCGTCTGTTGTGAGAGGCCAGCACATGCAGGCTCGTGGCAAGCGGCAAGCTAAGCCAGCCCAGAGACATGCCGCCGCAACGAGGAATCCTTGTCGAGTGGATGTACGACACGCGGCGCCGCGCATGCGTGGTCGGGCACACGCGGAGCTTCCAGCCAGCGCCGCCTCAAACCGTCAAACGGCCGCCACCGCCGCCGCACCTCTTGAGCTTGAAGGTGGGCGTCAGCAGGTCGGCCTCCACTGAGAACTGGTGGGGCTCCAGGTGGACCTTTTGGGTTTTTTTGGGGGTCGGGTGGGGGGTCCGGGGAGGGGGGCGAGGGGAAGGGGCAAAGAGGTGAGGTTCGGATCGATTGACGGCTGACAGGTGGATGGGGTGGGTTGGGGGTTGAGGGGAGAGAAGCAAGCGCCGCCCGGCTCGCGCCCACGAGCGTGCGCCCTGCTCAGGGCTGGCGCCAGAGAAAAGCCCTGCCCCATCATCGCTGACCTCAGCCCCGGAGATGCTCCTTTCGGAGCGCCCTCCTCATTTCGTGGGTCCCAAACACACAGCTCGGTCGGCCGCCCCCCAAAGGAGCCCCCGCTCAGCCTCGCCCATCGTCAACCCCCTGTTGGTGTACACAAGACCCTCTACCCCTGCCCGCCCACCGCGGACACGAGCTCGAAGCCCTTGAGCCTGTCGGCCTTGCCCGTTGCCACCAGCTCCTTCACCACCCAGGCCGCCGCCGCGGGGTCCTTGCACAGAGACTCGACGGACCCTGCGGCCATGAGGACAAGTGGCCCAGGGTGTGCAGTGATCACGGCATGTCAACATGCGACCGTGTGTTGCAGGTTGGCTCAGCGCCTGAACGTCTTGCTCCAGACGACCCTACCAACAGTTGTCAATTGCAGGATTTTTGAGCGCGGCGCAGGCAGCAGGGACTCTGCGTGCGGCTGCCGCGGAGGTGGCAGGTATGCTGCAGCGATGCAGGCACACAGCGGCGGCCGGCCCTAGTGTGGTGCGGCGCCCCTCACCGCTCTTGCCCTGCGCCTTGGCCCAGTCCTGCAGCGCATGGGGCTTGGGCACAACGATGGCCACCAGCTTGGCCTGGTAGCTGTCGCCGTACACCCAGATCTGCGGGGTTGGTGTGCGTGACGTCACGTGACGTCACCACAATGAGGCGGTGGTGATGAGTTGCACATGGGAGTGCTGGCCCTCCGACCTCCTGCACGACAGCTGGGGCCTTATCGCCTATATTCATCCCTGCAGCCCCACACACGCACCATCACAACCCCCCCCCCAAAACACACATGCACACGCGCGCCCGCACGCACATGCATGCATGCACGCTCGTGCACTTCTCGTTACTCCCACCTGCTCCACGGGTGACGCCTTGAGGTAGGTGGCCTCCAGCTTCTCCACGGCGATGTACTCTCCCTGGGGAGATTTTTTGATGCCGAGACCGAATGAGACCAAGTAGATAAAACGGATCATGACATTGCATCCTCAGCCACGCAAGGCACCCGCTGATGTGTACCAGGGTACAGGTCCGGGCGCGGAGGAGACACAGAATCAAGGGGTCGCTGACGAACAACACCAGCCCCCCCTTCTACCCCTCCAAAACACACGTACGCACACGCGCACACGCGCACACGCACACACACACAAGGCCCACCACACACACACACACACACACGCACACCTGGCTGAGCTTGAAGATGTTCTTCTTGCGGTCGATGATCTTGAGGCCGCCGCTGTCCGTGATCCTGCCAATGTCGCCGGTGTGGAACCAGCCGTCAGCGTCCAGGACCTTTGGGGGGGGTGGGGGTGGGGTGGGGGTGGGGTGCGGTTTGGGGTGCGTGGGTGTGTGTTGTGTGCATGCTTGCGTGGACGTGCGGTCGTATTAGTGCGTGTGTACGTGTGTGTATGTGTGTGTGTGTGTGTGTGTGTGTGTGGCATGTGTGTGTGTGTATGACTCTGTGTAAATGCGATAGCGGCGCAAGACATGCTCAGACACAACCCCCTGTTCACGTGCGCCCGCCCGCCCGCATACACACTAGGGCGGCCCCCGCACTTCGTCGGTCTTGTCCTGCTGCTTGTAGTATCCGGTGAAGAGGCAGGGGCCGCGCAGCAGGACCTCTCCTATGGGGTTGGCCTTGTCAGTGGCGTCGTAGTTCATCTCTGGGGGGGTTCAGGGGTTTTGGGGGGAGATGCAACCGAGGCGAAGCAAAGATGTATGTGATGTATGGTATGGTGTAATGTATGTGATGTACGTGATGTATGTGATGTATGGTATGGTGTAATGTATGTTGTGTGTACACGTGAATATTGTTTGTGTTTCGAGGCTGCACCTTGCGAGGTGACTTGAAGGGAAGAGATTCGGCTACACCGCCTGGTGCTTGAGGGCTGGCAGGGCGTGTGTGTGGGGCACACTGCAGTGGGGTCGACAGGTGGGTCTGACGCGCCCAAGACAGGGAGGGGGCAGCGCCACCCCCTCCGCCCTGGTATCCCCGGCAGGGGGGGGGGGCGCAGGATTCGCGGTTCGAAACACAGCGCGCCGCCTCACCGGGCACGCTCTCGAAGCGGATCTCGATGCAGGGCAGGGGGGGCCCGTTGGTGGCGAACTGCTCCCAATCGTCCGCCAGGGCGATGGCTGCGCCCGCACAGCACTCGGTCAGGCCGTAGCCCTGGGGGGTTAGTGGCAGGCAAAGTATGCACAGTGTCAGTGTGGTGTTAGCACAGCAGTAGTACAGTATCAGGACACGAGTGATGCAGGATTAGTACATCACAAGTACGCCAACAGTTTGGATCAGCACAGTGTTTGTACAGCACAGTGACTTTGTACAGAACAGGGTAAGGGGGACGGGGCAGGTGGTGCACGGTCTGGTGGTGGCCGGTCGGCGGAGAGGGGGGAGGGCAGCTGAAGCAGCAGCCCTGCTGGTGTGCGTTTTGGATTGCGACCGGGCGCTTTGTGTGCTCCCGCGCCCGCACATGGCGGCTTCAGTGATGGACAAACCCAGCGCAGAACAGGCGCGCGAAAACGGGGGCAGGTGTGTGAGCGTGACCGCATGTCAGCCAGCACACTTGCGCACGCTTCGCAGGCGCCGGCCACCCCGCAGCTCGGCGCATCTGGGAGCAGGCCCCTACCGCCGCCTGGAACATCCAGAACGGAACCCCCCTGCAAACATCCTCGCCTCGTGACCAGCGCCCGCCCCTTGCGTCACACCACAGGAAACCCTTTCCACCCCAGAGACTGCAGGCACAACCGGCTCCCTCGGCGCATCTTGCGGGCGAGCGCCCATCATTAGGCGGTAGCCAGGCGACTGCAGGAGCCCTCAGAGCCGAACAAGCCCCGGGCCCTCCCTCTACCCCGTTTATTTCCGACCCCTGAATCAGCTTAAGCCCTGGGGTGCCGAAGCCCCCCGAGCCCGCCCAAACGCCTCGCCGCGGCGCGCGTGACCTATGCCACAGGCGCGTGGCGCAGGGCATTGCATCCAGCAGAGCCGCCACGCCCACCATAGGGCAAGCCGGCCAGCTGCATATTATGGGGCCTCTCACCCCTCACCCCTCATCATTGCCACAGCGGAGCGCGACGCAAGGCTCCGCGGTATCTCTACTAAAGCGGAGCCCGCCAGCGGGCTGGCCGATCCGCCGCTGGGGGCCCTCACCCCTCGGGAGGGAGAGAGACTACGCAGGCTGTAACGCCCGCGTAAATTGAGGAGGAGGGGCCTGGCTTGCGGGGGCAGAGGCCGCCGCGCCGCGGCCCCCCCCCCCCACCAACTTTCGCCCCTCGCCCCTCACCTGTGCCACGGGGGCGCACATGGCGACACGCAGGAACTCCTCCACGTGGGGCGCCAGGGGGGCGCCGCCGCTGACGATGAGCTTCACGCGGCCGCCCAGGCGGCTCTTGACCTGCGTGTGTGTGTACATGTAAGTGTGTGTGTGTGTGTTGTGTGAATGTGGTTGTGTGTGTGAGAGCAACTGCGTGAGTGTGAGGGTGTGTGTGTGTGTGAGAGAGAGAGAGAGAGAGAGAGACAGGGAGTGTGTGTATCTTTGGGTTGGTGTCAGAGGGGGTGACACCACTGTGACCTCTTGGCAGACTGGCCAGCTGTTCGGGTCATGCGCACAACCGCGCGCAAAGCAGAGGCGGCCTCAATGCTTGCCGGGAAGGCCTGGTCCCAATTTGCAGTGAACCACCCAATCCTTCCTGCCCGCCCCGACCCCCCCCCCCCCGCACACACACACACGCACGCGCGCACACACACACACACACACACACACGTACACATATACACACAAACACGCAAACACACACACACACACACCTTGCTGAACACCAGCCTGTCGAAGAAGGGCGATGCCCAGGCCTGGCTCCAGCCGCGCTTCATGAAGTGCAGCTTGCGGTTGAAGCCCCAGGTGTACAGCAGCTTCTTGACGCCACCTGGCGGGGTGGTTTCGAACGCGATTTTTAATTCCAGTGATCCGCGGGAAGGAGGGCAGGTGAGGACATCGCGTTGGAAATGATTTCGATGCACTGAGTGCGTATACTTGTGACAAGGGCACCCTCGCTGGCCGTCCGGTCTTCATCTGCGCGTCCCGCCGATCGACGCCCTGGGGAGACAAGGGGCGGCGCGGCAAGGGGCCGGTGCGGGTGCATGGGGGCGGAGCTGGGGGAAGGGGGGCGCCTCACCGGCCTTGTTGATCTGGCCCGTGACGGCGGTGTAGATGCGGTCAAAAATGCGCGGCACGCCGATGAACAGCGTCGGCCGCAGCGCCCCGATGTCGTCGACGAGCTTGTGGGTGTCGCCCTGCGTTAGTCAACATGAGTCAACATGAGTGAGAAAACAGGCACGTGACGGGTCTTGTGGCAACTACCCAAAAAGCCGGGAACAGAGAAGGCAGCTCCGGGTCTGCAAACCAGGTGCTCGTGTGAAGAAAGCGTCGAGCGGGGACCGCGCGACCGGCGCTCGACCGCAGTGGTAAACGGGGGCGTAGACCCTGCCCCCAGCTTTGCCTTCCGATAGCTAGTGGCGAGTGCGTGCGGGGCCTGTTCTGCTGACCTGCCAGTAGCCTATGGCGCCGCCCACGTGCAGGAACATCTCCTCCGCCACCCTGGGGTGGTTTGGGTGGTGCAGGGGGGGCGGGTGTTGGAGAGGAAGGGGAGGGGCTGCATTGTGCAGAGAGCATACAAGCGGGGGAGCCAGGTTTGGGGAGGGGTGGATGGGGGGCCGACCCTGAGAGGCCCCACGCGCGCTGTCCCAGCGAATGCCTGAGGTTTCATGCATGCGAACGCGCGACCGTAGGACGCCGACGCGGGCGGCGGGTGCGCACCTGTCGAAGATGTGGGCCAGCGGCAGG